CCTATTACAAATACTGGCAACAACAAATGTCAGCAAGGATGTGGAGAAAAAGGAACTCTCCTACATGGCTGGTGGGAGTGCAAACTGGTCCAATCACTGTGGAAAGCTGTGTGGAAGTTCCTCAATCTGCTAAAAGTGGAACTTCCATATGATCCAGCAATTCCACTCCTAGGTATTTACCCAAAGGACACAAAAACATTAATTCAAAAGGACACCAGCACCCCTATGTTTATTGCAGCAATATTTACAATAGCTAAGCTATGGAAATAACCCAAATGCCCAAAAATGACTGGATCAAGAAGATATGGTACATATACACAATGGACTATTACACAGCAATCAAAAAGGATAAACTCATGCCATTTGCAGCAACATGGATGGAGCTGGAAGCGATCATGCTCAGTGAAATAAGCCAGAGAGAAAAAGAAAAATACTGATGGCGTCACTCATAGCAGGAACACAGTGAACCTAAATAAGAGATCAGGAAAAAGACTAATTATAATAAAGTAAAAATCATAATCAACAGGCAACTATAAAATAGAGACACACGCAACAGGGTGGAGAATGGAGTAGGATCAAAACAAGGGTGGTGGGAACTTTACGGGGACTATAACCAAGATGAAAATGCATACAATGTACAAAACTGAAAAATGATGTAAAAATAAACAAAATTTAAAAAAATTAAAAACATAAATATTTTGACATATGTAAAATATAAAATGCCTTGGAAAAGCTGAGGGTAGTAAAGAGACAGAATTTTATGGAAGTCAGGGCTTCAGGACATTTTTATCATGTCAAAAGATTCTTGAAATGTCCTTGTAATGCTCACTAACTTTGTGGGCAGAATGTACTGGACTACCAAACTATTTTCATAGAATCAAGGCATCTCAGAGATTGCATTGTTCATGGTCCTTAAGTTTTGGATATATTTGAATAGCTCTGTCGTGGACTAGAATGTCAAGATATCATTGCATAATAAGAGTATTAGGAATCAGAGGGTCCTGGAGGAGCAGAGAACACTAGGCAGGGATAAGAATGTCTACGAAGTCACAATGTTTTGTCAGTTCAGGAGATGTGGGGTATGAGTGTCTTGTACTTAATGATTTTCTTGAGAAACCAGGATATCTTGAGAGATAGAATAATCTTATGGATTTAGGCAGTCCTGTTCAGTCAAAGTCATGAGGGTATTCTGTATTTTGGGGATAGGAGGAGAATGGCAGTGACTACATTGCTTGTTAAGAAGTCCAGGGTTTAGAGTGCACTAGAAGGCTAGTGTCCTGGCATCAGCTGTTCTGACTGGCCAATGAATGTCAGATGGTCTGAGGACCTTGGAGGATCAGAAGATGTCTTTACTCAGTCCAAGTGTCTCATGGTTCAGGCCTGTGTGATCAGAGATCTCCTTGGTTGTGGTTTGAGAGTTCAGTGGTTATTCAGTGTTAGCATGTCCTTTGCAAGATTGGGGGCCAATCTGTGTTCTGAATGGACTGGAAGAGAAGATGCTCTTGAATGTCTGGATCCTTTCAGGTCAGGAAATTCCTTGTAAGTATCAGTTTCCAACTCTCACCTTACCAATGTGGATTTGGGTGTACTAGAGTCATTGTGAGTTCATGCTATCATGCTAACTATAAGGTATTGAAGCCCATCTTTCATGATGGCTCCATGTCCTAGAGAATGAACACATCCTTTGTGTCCCAGGAATTCAGAATCTGACAAGGTCAGAATGACTCTGAGGCTAGAGTCTCCCAGGAATCATGGTAAGAATAATAATGATAAGAAATTAACATTTTTATGTGCTTATTAGGTCAAGGGAAGTCCTAAAGTTTTCACTTTTATTTACTTTCAATCAGTACAAGTTCATCAGGTAGGTACTATCAATTCTCATATTTGTAGATTCCATATTTGTGAATTCACCTACTTACTAAAATTTGAAAACCCCTCCCCAAATCAGTACCATTTGACAATGTTCTTTGACTTTTCTGGGGTTAGTTACAGTCATATGCAAGTACAGAAAAATGAAAAATTTTAGTTACTGTATCCCCAGCTTAGGCCAAACAAGGGAACTGCTATGTCTTCTTGTTTCAGCTCTCATATTGCAAACTGGTGCTTTGTTGTTGTTTTTTTTTATTGTCTATTTAGTGCTACCATTTTCACATTTTTTGCTTTTTGTGGTACTTCCCACTGTTTAAAATGTTCCCAAGCACAGTGCTGAAGTGTCTTCTAGTGTACTTCTGTGCAGGAACACTAAATGTGCTTTACGGATGTAATAAATTTTGTTCAGGCATGGGTTATAGTGCTGTTGGCCATGAGTTCAGTGTTAATGAACTGATACATTTTAAATAAGGTATCTTTAAACAGAAACACACATCCAACAAGATTTTTGATTAACTGACAAAAAAGTGTGGGCAGAGACTCGGGGAAACATAATTTCCCTAGGCATAATGGTTAAGTTTTCACTAATACTGTGTTTGTGGTAACCTTATGAAACATAACTACTTCAAGAGAACCAACTATTATTATCCCCAAATGATAAAATTGAGTCACAGAAATGTTAAATATTAAGCCCAAGATCTTGAACCCATGGAAATCTCTACTTTCCTCACCAAACTTTCCTCCACTTAATGGGTACAAGGATGCTGGATATCAGGTTTCTTTGAAACTCAAAGTTGGGGGTGGGAAGATTAAATGCCTCTACAAGTCCCAGCCTCCTGAGGGATTACATATTCTAGGTTGTCAGGTCAATCTTGTATCAATTTCCTTAGGGAGCAAAGATAGTGGGTCAGAATTTCTTTGTAACTTCTGAGTGTCTTGCAGGCTGTCCTGCCTCATCAGAAATCTCTTGTAGGTTTAGGGTATCTTGAAACAGCAGATATATTAGAATTTGGCATTTACTGGAGGGTCCAAGTTGACTACACAATACTGAGTCCTGGTACATCAGGGCTGTCTGGAGCTCAGTTTAGGAGATCACTGTATATCATGAAGTAGGTGGGGAAAGGTGGTGTCTTGGATCATGCTTCTAGACTTTAATGTAGTTATTGACTGAATGTTTGTGTCTTCCCCCAGTTCATATGTTGAAGCCCTAACCCCAATGTGAGTAGATGGTATTTGGAGTTGGGGCATTTGGGTGATAATTAGGGCTAGGTGAGATCATGGGGGCAGTGTCTTTCTAAGAAAAGGAAGAAACACTTGAGTTAATTCTCTTTCTCCCCAGCAGCAACTGTTTGCAACCTGGGAAGAGTTCAGCAACTGAACCAGCAGACACTTCAAACTTGACTGCTGAGTCTTCAGAAATGTGAGAAATAAATGTCTACTGTTTAAGTCATTCAGTCTATGGTATTTTGCTAATACAGCTTGAGCTGATGAAGACAAAGGTATTTTCAGTTCTTCTGGAGATCTTTTTGTAATGTAGATTTTGATTTGGCAAGACTGAAATGGGATACAAGATTCTGCATTTTTAGTAAACTCTCATGTGCTGCTGATGCTGCTGATCCATGGTCCATGTCATAAGCATCAAGATCCTGAAAGATTGATTTTTCTGTCTTAATTTGTCAGGGTACTTTTAAAGAATGTGTTTGAAAGGTTAGCATGATCTTAGAGATCAGACTGTCCTGTAGATTCCATAGTATGTTCCAAGGAGGTTAGAGTGTTCTCTTTGAGGCAATGTATCCTGAGACCTCAGAATTTCATGGCAGGAGATAAGGGAATCTTCTTATAGTGATGACATGTTATGGAATTCAGTATGTCTGAAAGGATCCTAGAGTTCTGACATGTTCATTGTCTTTAAAGGGTCAGGATATCCTAGGGATGTCAGAATGTACTTCCAGTGTCTCTGTAACCTCAAGGAGCAGAGTACTACGGCACTGGGGTGTTCTGACTGCTCAAAGATTCTGGGTGTGCCAAGATTTTTTTAAAAATCAAAATGTCAGGATATTATGGGAATCTCAGTCTTCCAAGAGCCCTGAGGTTGAGGGGGATCAGGATGTCCCTGGAATTCAGATGCTCTTGTGCATCAGTGTCCTCTGAATGGTGGGCATCTTTGGAAGGCCATGGAATTCCGGGGATCCTGGATGAATGAGGAGGGGACCTTTGGGGAGGGAAAGCAAAGTACTTGAGAACTACAGTGTCCTGGAAGACTCAGTCTATGGATTGGGTTCAGGTTTGTGCTGCAGAGGTGTTTTAGTGTATTCTAAGAAGCAAGGTATCTAGGAAGGACCAAAATGCACTAGAATCTTGCAGTTATCTGGAAACAGGTCCTTGGATGTCACCCACATGCTGAGATGCCAGGCAAGCCCTGCTCCTGGCCCCCATTTGTACTCCCTCTCCACCCCCATCCGGGCCCCACAGTGGGGTTCCAAGGAGGTATCTAAGGAGGAATGCATTTTCTCTTCTTTCCTGTGCCTGCTCCCAGAAGGGGATTAACCTGACAAAAGAATTTGGTCCTCTGGGAATATGAGCTCTTGGCCCCAGTCCCTGGACCCTCCAACAGAGTACCTTCCCTCCTCTGGCTTGTGATTAACCCCCATCACCCCCACTCCCACCCCCAGTGAAGAGGGCTCTGGTGACCAGGCAATGATTGGATGGGCCCACAGGGACAAGCAGGAGGTCCCTCCCCCAAGGCGCAGAGAGAAAGGGGTGGTGTGGGATTGCACACTGGGAAAGTAGACAGCTGAGAGAGAAGGAAGAGAAGAACATCTCAGAGATAAGGGACAGGGAGAGAAAAGTAGGGACAGAAATAGAGAAATGAGATTGAGGGCAAGATAGAGAGAATGAGATGATACATGAACTAAGGATGGAGAATTAGGAAAAAGTGGAAGAAAGGAGATCGTGAAAAAGACAATGATATCTATCAAAAGCTACATTGACATAGAGAAAAAGAATCAGAGAGAAAAATAAATAAAGGGAGAAGGAGCAAGATAGCAGGCACAGAAGGGAACAACAGAAGGAGAGAAAGACTGACCTCAGGGGACACAGAGACTGGTTGTCTTGGGTATTGTTTGTTAGCCATGGAAGCAGATGGAAGGAGCAAACAGGACAAGCAAAAGAAGGGGCGAGTTTGCAGCAGCCTTTGGCCGGAGAGCTACTCAGCCACTGGGACTCTGACCTCCATGGAGGGTGAGTGAACCTCTGGGCTTGTCCTGAGGAGGCAGTAGGTTAGGGCGCTTCCTATCTAGACTACGAGCCATGGTTTGTCAGGTGGAATGTGATGAGGAAAAATAAAAAACAGAATCCTGTAATGTTAAAATTGTGGGAAGCTTAGAAGGCACAGGGCAGTCCAATTCCTTTGCTTCAGACTCAGGACAGAGGCCCTGGCATTGGAGGGCTGTTGGACAACACACACCATGGTGGGTGTTGCTGAAACTGTCCCCTCATGCCTGACCTCAGTACCCACCCCAGTGCTTTATCTGGGGGAAGGAGTTAGAAGGCCAGGACTTTATCTGAGGAAAGCAGGGACCAGTGGCTCCATACCTGAGTGTCCCCAAGGTGGACAAGGAGTGCTGGGTGGGGGACCCACCCCTAAATCCCCATGGGGATGGGCATCTCAGCAACAGACATCTCTATTTTCAGAGTGTAGCTTCCAGGTGTTTCCTTTTGCTCCCTGTCTTCCCCTCCCCAGCTTTCAGACTAATTAATGTGGGGGCTTAGTGAGCTTGTGGGGAGAGGCAAGACTTTCCCACGAGCTCAGGTTCCTGCAATGTGGTGGCAGAGTCAGGGCCTGGATAAAGAAGATGAAATATGTGTGAGGGGGTGGTATGTCAATGGAAGAGGGGGAATTCTTCATCTTTCTATATGAGGGATGGGGAGGATGGGAGCAGAATAAAGAAAGTTAAAGTTGAATATGAATCCTAACAACAGGGACTAAGTGACAGGATCTTAGAGACCCAGAGAGCTTGTTAGGGTGTCTGAGCTAATAAGAATGAGGTGAGTACAATGTGTGCACAGAGAGGCCTGAGACACATGCAGTGGCACACACCACATGGGAATGCATCTGAGTGTAAAGGAGCAGGCAGTCAGTGAAGAGTGAGGCAGACAGCAGGATCACCCAGAAGAGAAACAAGTCTGAGGGGTGTACTCCTGTGGAGAGCAAAGCCTGTGTTAGGGGACCCAGAGGGGAAGCAGGGACTTATTGTGAGCTGGGCCCAGGAACTGGGTTCAGCTGGTTATAAAACTAAAGAATTTCTGTTTGGGACAGAGTGTATGTGCAACATTGGGGTGCAGCTTATGTGGTGGGTACATTCAGCAGCAACCTCTCCCTTCCCCTCCTTCCTCAGACATGAGCACTTGGTCCCACCGAAGCCTCTCTGGTGTAGGAGTGGGGAGACCAAGACTTTCCCCACAAGGAGGTCACCCACACTCCCGGCGCCGCCATCGCACCACCTTCAGTCCAGGACAGTTGGAACAGCTGGAGTCAACCTTTGAGAGGAACCAGTACCCTGACATTTGGGCCCGAGAGGCCCTTGCTCGGGACACAGGCCTCAGTGAGGCCAGAATCCAGGTGACACCCCAGGATTCCTCCTTCTCCCAGAAGAAATGGTTCAGTTCTTAGGGACTATGGCGAAGCAAATTTCCATGGGCATTATAACCTTAATCTAAATCTCACCAGAACTAGCCTCATGCAACAAATGATGTAACTCAAGAGTTTCCCTTGAGCTTAATCCTAACTCAAACCTAATCTACTTGAATTTCAACACCAACCCCTAACTTTAAGAGCAGTGTGAATTCCAACAGAAATTCAATCCTAACTGTTCATATACCTATGTAATCTTGTCCATAACCATGACCTTGAAACTCAACCAGCCTCATGTTCCCTCAATCTTAACCAGGGACTTAATTAATCTTAAGTATAAACCCCACCCTAGGTCCAGCCTTGTCTTAAACTCGTTCATAGTCTTAATCTTGCATAACACTAGGAGAAATTTCCCATTCTCTGAGGAAGGACTAAGTCATCCTGTCATAACGTATCTCTTGTTGAACATTGACAATTCTTGCTCACAAAAAGTCACAGTCTGGCACATTTAGATGCAGGTTGGGAGTAATGGTGTGGTCTTGCTTTGACAGTAGGCCTGGCCCAACCATGCCTTCTGGAAGAGCTTCACTCCCTCTGTGAGGGAGGTCTACACCTTATGCCTGTACTTTCTGTCATTAGGGGTAAGGGGTTCCTGTGACACTGCCACTGGTCTGAGAGGCTCTGATGTGGCTCTTCTTCCTCCTCCTCAGGTCTGGTTCCAGAACCGAAGAGCTAAGCAGAGGAAGCAAGAGAGGTCACTGCTTCAGCCACTGGCCCATCTGTCTTCTGTCACCTACTCTGGCTTCTTGCCTGAGACTGCTGCTTGCCCCTATTCCTACCCATCACCACCCCCACCCATGACCTGCTTTCCTCAACATTACAACCATGTTCTACCCTCTCAACCCTCCACAGCTAGTTCTTTTGTTCAACCTCACCAGTCTGAAGATTGGTACTCCACCTTGCACCCAACCTCTGCTGGTCATCTGCCTTGCCCCCCACCTCCACCCCTACTTCCCCTCACCCTTGAGCCACCAAAGTCCTGGAACTAAGGTCTAACAAGTACTAATAAGGTAATTCCCCAAACTGTGGTGCTCTTGAAACAGAGAAACCTAGGTGGCTTCCTTTACTTCCAAGAGTAAAGTAGAAATATGGTGAGGGACAGCTTAGATATTGGGATTTTGGAAATGGGAGATCATGATGGAGGCTCACTGCAGTGATTCATTGAGAGAATTTGGCAAGGTGAAATACTGGAATACTAGATAAAAATCATCAAAATAGATGATCTGTGAAAGAGTAATGGAAGTGATTGTTGCTTCTGATCAATGGAAATGATTGAAGGAGCTAGACCTTTTGGGGGCTTCATTCATTGAGATTATGATGAAAGAACTTCACCCCAGATTTTTCTAGCTGATTTCAATAAGAAGACTTTTGATTTAAAGTATACCAATTACCCATCCTCATCACCCAAATCAGTCATTAAGTTTTGTTCATTATGTTGAAAAAATAATCTCTTGAAGCTGAACTATCTCTTGAATGTATTCCTCTCCCATTCCAGCAGACACTTTGCTTTTTCTGGTTCCAAATCTCCTAACTAATCCTCACTTGTTCCCTTGGCCCCAGACTTACCCACTTCCAACAGACCTTGCAAATCTGATCATTGAATTTCTTAAAATAAATAAATAAATAAATGAAATCTGATTAGGTTGGCTTGTGAGAGTCCTCAACACTATCTTCAACCTGGCTTTAAAGTCAACTATGTGTTTTAATATGTGTGTTTTTTGATAGGGAAGAAGTAATTTGATTTAAGCAAACTTTTTCAAGAGCAAACTATGAGTTGTGTCTCATAAGAGCTCATATCCAGGAAAGAACCCGCTGCGAAGCACTGTCCCAGCTGGAACAAGATGTGGCCAAATTTGTAGTACCATTTCCATGCCACAATGCTTATAATATACTTATTTTACTCAATAAAAATATTTATGTATTGGTCTGCCTTAATTATTGGCAGATCAAAAGAAGAATTCTGAGTAAAAAAAAGGTTTTGGTGATCAAAACTTATGTTGTTTTCAGTTTTAAAAAATGTATAATATAAAGAGTCTACCCAATTGAAACCTCTGCATTACACATTTGCATTCCAGACTGCTTTCCAGACAGATTATACCAGTTCTATGCCTCCAAAAATACCTGAGTGAGGTATCATCACATCCTTGTTGACCTCTACCACTTTTTAACAGTTTGTTAACTAAAAGTGATGGTGCCTTGTTGATTATCTTCAAGTTTTCATTTGATCAAGTACTAGTGAGAGTTAAAATAATTTCATGTTTATTGATGATTTACATTTTTAATTTCTGCATTGCCTGTGAGCTATTTGTGTATTGATCTAGTCATTTTTCATTAGTGCTTGAAAACTCTTTGTGTATTAGGGAAAGGGGTACCTATTCATATATGGTGCAACTATTTTTCACCATTTGTTATTTAGCTTTTAGTCTTTCTCAACAAGGGTTTCCTGGGATAATGTTGTAGGCATCTATTGTCTGTAATGAGTTAGCTTCTGTTTTAAGTATCTAGTATTTCATCGTCCTGCGGAAGAACTGGTAAAATTGAGAAAGGAGTCACTCTATTTTGTGTTTCAAGGTTTGGATGAAGAACTCCAGGTGAGAAATCTCCCTTTGTTTTTATTGAATTCACCAGTAAAATGTTTTCTTCATTATTTGGATCAAATGTTATGCAAAATGTTATTTGAATCAAATGCTACTCAATTTCACATATCATATGAAGTTTATTGTATTGTGTATAGGAAAATAGTCACATAATTTCCTCTTAATCAGCTAGTTTCCCCAATATAATATACTCAATAATCTAACTTGGCCCCATTGATTTATAAAATCATATTTTTTTTCATATACTGTTATAATACAAATACAGAACAATTGTACACTCTTAATTCTGTTCTATGAATTTATTTCTTATTCTGGCACTAATATTGCATTTTTTAATTACAAAAATTTTGAGACATTGATATCTTTAAAATGTTAAATTTCTATATGGGTTTGTGCTATCATTTTTCATACTTTTCACATCTCTCAGGAGAGTTATATTTATAATAAAACTTAATATATGTAGCCTATGTAACAAGTTAACTCAGAAAATATTTTATATGTATATTAAATTACATATGTAAGTATATATTACATGTACATATATACATACCTGTATATTAACCTGGATTAATCATCAAAGTCTCATGTTGAGATAAAATGAAATCAGAAAAATATCTTCAATACTTGATACCATTGGCAAAAAGGTTGCACATTATAACATGCCAGATAATTTAAAAATGGTAAAAATTTAAATTTGTATATTATACGTGAGAATGCATCTTTATGAAGTAAAATTGCACAGGGATGATAAGCAGCAATTTCAGGAGGGAAAAAAAACAATATAATTCAAGACATGTACACAGAAATATTCAATTCTCTTGGGACACATTTGTGTTTGTTGTATTAGTTAATCCTATTGGTTAGTTCTAAGGTTTTGTTGAATGTCTGAATTATTTCACAATGATTTTGCCTATCAATCCCTGTCCATCATGAGATGAACAACATTTCAATATTATCTGTCCACAACTTATTTATGTTTAAGGAAAAATTATAAACCTACACATATAAATGCTTTTCTCCATTTTAAAAGTGAAAGTAGAATCTTAGATATTACTATATGCACATATATTATATATTCCTTATAATATATATTCCACATAATATATAATATATATTCTACATAATATATATTCCTTAATGTCTTTTTAGAATTAATAATCAACATCATCTTATTAGAATTAATAACCTATAAGACACTTTCAAATGTATCAAATTGATCAATGGATTTCATTGTTTCACTGCCATTGAGGCAGTTCCATGTGCCACTTAATCATCCTCTTATCATTGAAGAAGCAGAGTTGGTTTGGTATTTTGTTTTGTTTTACCATCATAAATGCCATTGCTGTTTCATTAAAGGATAATTCTCCAAGAAAGGTAAAATCATGACTCTATCATAGCAATATAAAATAAACATGTACTGATTGTTTTGTTTAACTAGTTATTATTAAGAGAATGATAAAGATCAGTTTAAAAGACAATCCAAACAATTGATATGTTTATAGATAAGGAATAGTGAAATGCAAGTGTAAATAAAGGCAAAAATTGGCTTCTTTCACATTTGGGAAAGTCAGTTGAACCTCCAAGGGTGGGATTTATTTTCATGTATATAGACAAGATTTATGTTACATTACTATCAGTTATCTCTATACAATACACACTTGTAAAACATCTCAAGTACAAAGAAAGCCTCAGAACTCCCATAGACTCAAAATCAAGTTATTTGAAAAGATGGGTCTAAACAATGCATAATTTTCTATTGAATCATATTTTTTCCCTATACTTTTCTCAAGTACAGGTGCTTTCACTTCTGTAGGACAGATAGCTCAAGGTAAGATTTTTGGGCTAGGGTTATATGCATTTAAAATTAAAATTAAAAATTCCTGAATAGTTTACCAAAAAGTGTTAGTTTGGGATGGGAGCCAATTAAATATATATATATATATATATATTAAAAACCTAAAACTATTTTCCCTTAAAATTTATTTTTTTAAATGATTTATTATATTTATTTATGCATACAAGAGCTGGGGTGCAGTCCAGAGGTGGGGGTGTGGTGAGAGGATTCACCAGAGACAGCGGGAAGCAGAACAGGCAGACTGACTGAAATACACTGCTGAGGGGAGCAGCGGGCAAGATAGGAGAGGTCTGCTGCACCCTGTGGGTCAGCTCCCTGGCAGGGATCTAACTTGCTCTGCAGTGGCTGTGGATAGCTTCATAGTGCTGAGACTCAACCCCTTGAGTTACCAGGGAGGCCCTCCCCTAATATTTCTTTAATGGTTTAATTTTTTAAAAATCCTATAAGTCAGGAACTTAATTTTGCATATACTTGTAAGAATCAGGGAACTGAGTTTCTTCTAGAAGGATAGTCAAATATACCAGCACTATTAAATGATCTACCTTTCTCACCTTGAATCAAATTTCACATTGAATCAATCACATTGCTACCTTTATCATATCATAAATTATTAATAACTTCTGAAAGGATAGGTGCAGTAAAGAGGAGAGCCAGGCCAAGTTTCTCACAGGCAGGAAACTTTATTGCGCCCCCAGGCAAGGTTCATCGACCCCCCACACACACACACCCCTAGGGGTTGGAGAAGTCTTGTCTGTTGTGGGGGGAGAGATGTCTTTTTATAGGGTGAGGAGAGGTCAGGCGGGAAACTGGGTTTGCAGGGCGGGGAAAAGTTTTGCAGGGCGGGAAAAGGTTTACAGGGTGAGAAAGGTTTATTGTCTGATTTTTTTCTATATGGGCTTCCTGCCCCTGGTGGGCTTACGCATTCCTGCTCCCTGCATGGACCTTTCAGCTTCCCATGGGCGTTAACATCTGTTCCTGGTTCCATCTTTTTAGGCTCTGGCAAGCAGTTTCACACACTCAGTGCTCCCATGTGGCTCCTCACACTGCTTCCTAGTTGGGATGGGAAGGGCCAAAGAGGGTCCATGAAGTTTTCTGTGCCCTTGGATTCGCTTTCTCCAGCCCCAGTCAGCATCTCTCCCCCAACCTCTTCCCTTTGACCCACTTGGGGAGAAAAGGGGAAGGAGAGAAGGAAAGGAGATCCTCCACAGCACCTAGATTTAGCATATAACCTAAATTCGATGCTCTGTCCCTGGAATGTGGGGTGGGAGGGGAGGCAGGCAGATGGAGGGGAAGAAATGTGAGGGCCCTGATAGTCCCTGCCCAAGACTGATCTCTGCATAAACCTTTGGCCAAAGCCCTGGGAACCCAGGAGCTCTGAACACAGAACCTCTGGGTATACACCAGCCACCTGGCAGGGGGATTTCATTAGGATGCAGAGTGCCTGCAGTGGAGGCATCTGGGTTGATCCAAATAACCCCCTCGGGGCTTCCCAAGGCAACTTTCCTTTCAAATTATCCCTGCCCCAACCCCCCAGCAG